GTCATGCAGTGCCCACAGAGGTCAGAAGAGGGTGTCAGATCCCTTGGAACTAGAATTACAAAAAGTTGTTAGCTACCATGTGGGTCTAGCTGGACACTCTTTTAGACTGTAACTGCATGTCATTGAAGAAGATAACCACCATTTTTCTGCTTCTACCTCAATTTTTGGTGAGATCATAGCAGTTTTGCTGACCATTAGTGCAAATGTCAGCATAGAAGAAAAAGAATAGATCACATGTTTATTTTATTATGAAAACAATGTTAACCTTTCAGAGCCTATGAAGGGGTCTTAGAACCTCCAGGGGTAAAAACTGGGCATGGTGACTCATGCCTTTAGTCTTCAAAGTACATAAGACCCTGTCTCAAGTCAAGAAATAAATACATAAACAAACAACCTAATACTATGTACTTTTCCTAATTTTCTTTTCATGTTTGGCTTATTGATACTAATCTTTGTTTTTCAGTCTTTCAGCCTAGAATTTTGCCTTGTAATTAGAAATTTTTGAGCTGGGCATGGTGGTGCATGCCTTTAATTCCAACACTTGGAGGCAGAGGCAGACAGATGTCTACATAGGGAGTTTCAGGCCAGCTGGGGGGCTACAAGGAGACTCTGTCTCACCAAAAAAAAAAAAAAAAAAAAAAAAAAAATTCATGTCACTAGGACACAGGGTAAAGGAATATGATTATTTTCCTTATAGAATTCAAAATCTTATTGTTAAATAACTTCATTTTTCATATAAACATGACTTTTTTTCAAAGAAATTTAATTTATTGGGGGGCATGGCAAATGAACTTATGTACTGGGGTAGAGTTCTCTGTACCCTTGGCTTTAAGACACCTGTTGCTATTTGGGGCTGGATAGAGCAGTTGATGGAAGGAGAAAGTCTCCAAAAAGAGGTTTGCGACTCCTCAGATTGAAAACCTGGTGAGTGGGAAGACAAAGTCCCTAACCTGACAATTTACTGTAAAACATATCTGTGCTAATGCAGGAACTCCGACCCACCTGGTGCAGAGGAGTCTTGTCTTGACCTGCTTTGGGAGAGTGTTGTCTTGATGCTTTTCTCTTCCTCCTTGGAAAACAGCTGAAGAAATCAGGGGAGAAACCCCTGCTTGGTGGAAGCCTGATGGAATATGCAATCTTGTCTGCTATTGCTGCCATGAACGAGCCGAAGACCTGCTCTACCACTGCTCTGAAGAAGTATGTGCTGGAGAACCACCCAGGGACCAATTCTAACTACCAAAGTAAGAGTCAGAGTTGGGTGCCCTTAACTGGGACAGTTCTCATAGAGCAGATCCCTAAGGATCACACCACTGATGTTGAAGCATTAACTCCTGACTGCCTATGAAGACCAAGAGAAGATAGCGATGCCAGTTTATTGTTTACAATAAGCAACAGAGAATTCATCAAGATTTATCCTTTATTTTTTATATTTTCCTTTTTGAGATAAGCTCTCACCATGTATTCAGGCTGGCATGGAACTCACAGTCCTCAGGCCTCAGCCCCTTAGGTTCTGGGTTTACTTCTGTTATTGACAGACTTTTTAGTTTGCAGTCATTCCAGATCAGACATTGATTTTACTTTGCTGTAAAGTTTTTTCTGATACTTTTTTTTTTTTTTGTAATTTAGATAATTATCCATTCAAAGAAAACCTGTTTGGATTATATTTTTACCTACTTAAGAATTCTTACCAAAGCATCTAATTTCACATTGAAACCAAGCCAGAGTTTAGAATATTTACTGCTTAGAATAAATGTATTTTGTCTCAGTAATTTACCAAAAGGTGGTGATTTGAGATTAGAGACAAGTTATAATTAGTCTGTAATTAGATATAGCAGCATTTTTACATATGCCGATAAAAGTTAACCAGATTGGGCAACTTGTTTGAGAACTACTAAAAAAAAATAAGCAAAGGGATATAGCGTGAAAAGTGTGGAAATTCAGTAATAGAAAATGCAAATTTGTACTTTAAGTAATTTTTGCCTTGTATGTTGGTGTATGCTGTAGTCTCAGCTACTTGGGAGCCTTAGGTGGGAGGATCACTTGAGCCCAGAAATTTGAGGCCAGCCTGGGCAACACAGCAACATTCCAACTCAGTAAAATAAAATAAGGTAATTTTGAAGTCTTAATACTGACTTTTTCTCTCTGGTTTGTGTTTGGTTAAGGTTTTTTGGTTTGGTTTTTTTTTTTTTTTTTTTTTTTCCTGTAACTTGTTATGTAGACCAGGCTGGACTTTGTCTCAAAATATCTGAACCTGCATCTGCTTCCAGAGTATTCAGACTAAAGGCATGGTGGTTTTTGTTTCCCAGACTGGCCTTGAACTTGTTACACGGCCCAGGAAGGCGGCAAGCCTTCAACTCCTGATCCTCCTGGCCCCCCAAGTCATGTTATATGATGCCCAGCCTTAATAGTAACTGAATATATATGTAATGCTTATATTTAACATTATGAAGCACTTTTTCTCTACTTGGAAAGCTAGTTTTGTCTTTTCTACTAAAAATACAAACATTTGCCAGGCGTGGTGGTGCACACCTTTAATCCCAGCGCTTGGGAGGCAGAGGCAAGCGGATCTCTGTGAGTTCAAGGCCAGCCTGGTCTACATAGTGAGTTCCAGGACAGCTAGGGCTACAGTGA